TGGGGGGTCTGATTGGCCTCAAACTGCATAATGGATGATGATGACATGGATCACGGAGGCTGGGGTGAGCGAAGGTTGATTGGGGGCCCGACAGACTGGTCAGGCAAAGACAGGGCTGAAGATGCTTGTTTGCATGTCTCATTGTGGAGAAGGGAGGCGGCGAGCCTGCATAGCATCGAGAATATCCGTGCATCAGCGACCTATTCCGTGCCTCTTTTCCCCTTCATGACAAAGGGGGAAGGTCAAAGGGCGGGAGGGTGGCATTTTCGCCAGCTCCTTGGTTTTTCTTTTTTTTCTTTCTCTTGGTGCCAGTGTAATCACAGCGCATGCCGGCGCCTGACGATTTGCCCAGGGAGAAAACGGGCGGCGCGGATTCCAGGGGGCAGCCGGTAGTCAACACGGTGTTCAGTCGGCCCTTGTTCACGGCTTGTCTCATGTCGTGGCTGGCCTTGTTGGAACGGACGGGGCGCACAGGGGTCGTGACTGCGGTGGGGACGGGCGGCTGGCTGAAGCGTGAGAAAAGAAGAAAAAAGAAAAAGAAAATTGCGAATTGTGAAACTTTTGTTGGTCGCGAATGACGAGTAGACTATTTTGGTGGTTTTTGGTGCGCGTGGAAAACGGGTTTGCGTGTCGGCCATGGCACACGGAGTAGAGATGGGCGCCCGCGCTGGCTTGTCACAATCACGTCACGGGCGCTACGGACGGGCTTTGCAGCAGTCGCGCGCGTGGCCGGCATGCGTACATGTATGCCGGGGGTTGCACTGGGTAGAATGAAATGGCTGCTGAGTCGTGGTGTTGAAGGCGACGGGATGCCAGAGCAGAGCGCCCAAGTGCCGGCCAGCACACGGGACGCTCCTTCCCCAGCATTGGAATACAGAGTATTTGATCGCTCCTTCCCGCGCTTGTCTCGTCGCGCTAGCACGCACCAACCGTAATCTGTGCGAGACTGCCATCTCGCACCGCGGCTGCTCTGGTCTTTGGTTCCCCACATGTAGACGCCACTGTCAAGGGAAGGAGTGGCGCCGCCGTCAACTCAAACGGCAGTCGCCATGCAGAAACACGAGCATGACTGACGAGTCCACTTCCACTTCCGCTTCCGCTTCGACTTGCCTCTGACGGACTCCATTCATGCGCTTTATTGCCCGCGACCATCCCTCGAATCCCACACGCTCCAGCTCTTGCACCCCTTTGCAAACATTTGCTACGCGACCGTCACCATCATCTTCTTGCTGTTGTTGTTGGTGAATGCCCACATCCGCTACTAAAAGCTGTCACATGGACAGGCTTGCAGCCTCTCAGCCAGTCGTTCTCGCTTCGACCACCACACCTGGCACACAACGCGGCCCTCAACAATAAAGCTCGCATAAGGAAAACAACGACTAAAACGAACAAACCAGTACCGAGGACAGTCCTCTGCCCTCTCGACATGCACCTCTGTCGGGGAGGGACATAGCCACATCTCCTTTGAACCACCACCACACTTTTGTGCATTGTCGATACCACTACCGCACCACAAAGCTCCCCTTGAGCGATGGACACGACGGCAGAACCCACGTCGTCATGTCATCTCGAGCGTTCATTCTCGCAGCACAGCGTAGCATCTACGCGTTCCATCCGAAGCACTAGAAGTAACCGGAGCACCACGCTGCGTGCTGGTCGCAGTCGCCGGCTCCTCAGTCAGCCAAATGGCTCAGCAAGCAGTATCGCTGCGAGCGACAAGTCTTTGACCAGCTTTCCTAGTTTCAGCCCCGACCCTACTGATGCGAGCCTTTTCCACAACAAAGAGGAGCGCCTCAAAACGGCCACTCAGGATTCAGAGAATGGCCGTATGAGGAACCTCAGCAACAGAGGCCTCTCCATAGTCGACAGTCTGACAGGCAAGAACGCGTCTCGCGATGCCTTGTTTGAGGATGCTCCACTGCGACAATCGATCCCGGGCGCGTTACACCGGGCTGATGATAGTCACATCGAGCGGCTGATTTCCCGGCATGGAGCGGTCCCGCTCGTTCGTCAAATTGCCGAAGACTTGGCGCAGAGGGATGTTCAAATTGCTGCGCTTCGTCGACGAGCCGATGAGCGGGAGCGAGCGCTCAGGAAAATTGTTAGGGAATGTGGTCTGTCAAACATGGACCTGGAGAACCGGCTCAAGACGGTCGAGGCTGAGATGCGATCCAATGAACGCAGACATAGCGATGGGGAGAATGGGCTGACGGATCTCATGAGCGATGCGATGCAAGATACCATGACAGCGCATGTATACGGAGAAACGGAGCGAAGAGATGCCACAGTTCGCACAGGCGGCAATAGCAAGGGAACCATTCGTGGATGGAAGGAATACCTCTGGGGAAGCGGAACTGCAAAACGAGGAACCCGTGCGAGCAGTGTCAGTGTTAATGGCGAGGACGCCAACCCGGCTACTATAGTACGCTCACAGTCAAGCATGGACAGGCGACCAACAATCCAGGACGATCTATTCACTCCTCCGCCAGAACCCAACACAACCACAAACCCGACCAGTTCAAGCCGCGCTTCTAGTGTCCATTCTACAGCAGTCTCTGAGCGGAAGACGTCGGTTTCTCTGGCAAGCCTCGCCTTGCGGCTCGTGGCTGGAGGCACCGCGACCCCACGAGATGCCGAAGTCAGAGGCAGAGCTGTGAGTGCATCTGTTCGCGACGCCTCCAGAGCAGGATCAACTGCCAGTATTCGGACAGCCCAGTCTGCGCGGGTTGCGTCCATGGCTGGAAACCCTAAGGCCTTGATGGCCATGCGGCGGACTTCTCAGACACCACAACCCTTGACTAGCACAAAATCACAAGCACAAGACATGTGGAGAAATATGGCGAGCAGCCCACCGGATGCCATCAATGCACGACAGGAAAGTTGCGGCCCTGTTGAGATGGATGCTATTTTGCCACCTGAATCGCAACCTCCCACTTTGTCCCATATCTATCAGAACAATGCCCAAGGCGAGTTTCTAACGGATAGATTTGGGTTCATCTACGATCAGCGCCGGAAGAGGAGACAGCGGGAAGCGGCACATATGGCAGATCAGATCAAAGGCGGCCGGACTGAGATGCTCACCAACGGCCGCACCGGAATATCTCCAAATCTTGTTGAAGGGCTTCCAAGCCCTAAATGGAGCGTCTCAAGTGGTGGCAGACCTGGCAGCCCCAGCAGCCACGAGGAACGAATCGAAGATGACAGCAAGCCGAAGCGATGGCAGGATTATCTGAAGATTGCTACTTTTCCTACTGAGCTGTTGAGCCATACACCAAGTGTTAGTGCGTCTGCACTGGAGGTATTGGAGGGCACTGGTGTCTTGACTCCCGAAATTCACGAGCCGGAACCGTTCAAGGGACCGAGTATTGTGCCCACAACCGCTGGTTTGGTTCTTCCACAGCCAAGTACGACAACTGCAGTTGACAATGAAACCACACAGCCCGCAGACAGGGACGCAATCGTCACTGCGGTTGCCACGGAAGACACGGAGCCGGTGAAGCTACTACTGGAACAGCTTAGCGATGTTCACGACGCATTGCAGCGCGACAAGACGGTGAAATGGAACGATTTTCTCCGCAAGGTGAGAGCCGAGCGCCGACGTGAAGGCCAGGCTGCCGTGGCAGCCGCTGCAGCGGTCGCTGAGGCTCGTTTCGAGACACCTGCAGTGATTCTTCCCGAGACTCGGGTGGCAGACGGTGAAATCATTGGCATCTCGGGCCTTGGGAACAAGGGCAAGGTGGGCCGGGCCAAGTGGAACGAATTCAAGTCACTGGTGCTTGGCGGCATACCCGTTGCATTTCGCGCCAAGGTCTGGTCTGAATGTTCTGGCGCAAATGGACTGCGCGTTCCCGGATACTACGAGGACCTTGTCGCACAAAACGGCGAGGATGATGACGCGGCAGTGGTCAGCCAGATTCAAATGGATATTCACCGAACGCTGACAGACAACATCTTTTTTCGAAAGGGCCCAGGAGTACAGAAGCTGAACGAGCTGCTCCTTGCGTACTCGCGCCGGAACAAGGATGTTGGATACTGCCAGGGCATGAACTTGATTGCGGCGAATCTTCTCCTCATCATGCCGTCGGCAGAAGAAGCGTTTTGGATCCTGGCATCAATTATTGAAAGCATTCTACCGCACGGCTACTACGACCAATCGCTCATGGCGTCGCGGGCCGACCAGCAAGTGCTGCGGCAATTTGTGTCGACGGTGCTTCCCAAACTGTCAGCACATCTCGACTCGCTTTCGATCGAGCTTGAGGCGTTGACATTCCAGTGGTTCCTGTCGGTATTTACTGACTGTCTTTGCGCCGAGGCCCTTTTCCGGGTGTGGGATGTGGTGCTGTGTACTAATGACGGGAGCACGTTTCTCTTCCAGATTGCGCTGGCGTTGCTGAAGCTGAATGAGCAGAATCTTTTGCAATGCGACACGCCCGCAGGAGTCTACACATACATCAACCACCACATGACGGAACACGCAATTAGCATTGACGGCTTGATTCAAGCTGGCGAAGCACTGCGACGAGTTGTGCGGCGCGAGGATATTGAGCAGCGGCGGAACAAGGCGATACAGGCGGAGAAGGACATGCTGGCCGAACGAGATGGCAATGCTCAGAAGAAGACGGCCCAGAAGGCAGCGGAGGACGAAGGATTGAGTGTCGAGGAGCCACGGCCGATGGAAGCTTAAATGCACAGGATAAAGAGGTGGTTGGATAGAGCTGGCTAGATGATACCCACATATATATCCTTTGTCTATTTCTTGTCTAGTGTCATATAAAACGTTCCATGTTTATATGTAGCTCCTAAGCAGGGGGGACTTGTCGTGAAGCGTGTTTTCCAGCGGTCAGCAGTCAAGTCGGACCATGATTCTAACGTACACGGCAGGCAACCAACACCTGTCACCCAGGCAGCTGATATCCCATATATTGAAATACACGCCATACATGCAGTCTTGTGCCATGATGGTCAAATCTCTATTCCTTGATTCGTCCTCTCTGTTTTCTTCACAGCTTAGATTTGTTCTCCTTGCTCCACTGCTCAAACCACACCTTTCCAAACTCCTTCCGCTCGCCGTCGAGCCTCTGGTCCTCGTTGAAGCGGGCCTCCTCCCTGTCGACGCCCTCCTTGCGCAGCTCCTTGAGCAGGTCCTTGTGCAGCTCCGTCTTGATGACGCCGTAGACGCCGGCTTTCGCCTTCTCCGTCAGCTGGCGCTCAGCGATGAAGCGCAGGGCGTCGTCGAGCGACGCGGCCGTGGCGTCGGCGAGCCCGTACTCGACGGCCTGCTGGCCCGTGAAGCGGCGGCCCTCGAGGGCCACGGTGCGGTAGGCCTGCGGCGCCAGGCGGTGCCGGAAGATGGCGGCCATGGGGGGCTTGAGCGGCGCCCCGAAGAGCACCTCGTTGAGGCAGAGGAAGCCCTTGGGGTCTGGGGCCAGGCGGTAGTCGGGCGCCCGGGCGAGCACCAGTCGTGCGCCTGGGCGAGCATCAGGCCGCCGGCGAAGGTGTGTCCGTTGAGGAGGGCGACCGTGGGCATCGGGTACCTGTTTTTTTTTACAGTTTGGTTAGTGAAATGGCAAGAGGTAGAAAGGGGGGGGGGACGACTTGCGTTAGGAGGCGCGTCCACAGGTCGAAGAAGAGCTGCCAGAAGCCGTCGGTGTTGATGGCGTGCTCGAGGTCCAGGCCGTTGGAGTAGAACTTGGGGATGCCGCTGGTGGTGACGACGACGCCGGGGGTGTAGCCGCCGAACTCGAGGATGTCGAGGGCCTGGAGGAGGGCGCGGCAGAGCGCGGTCGTGAGGCGGTTGTCCGGGGGGGAGACGAAGGTGAGCAGGTAGACTTGGGGCTGCGGCTGGGTGGCGGTGATGGAGCCGCCTGGGTGGGCGCCGCAGGGGGGGATGGGCACGGTGAAGAGGGACATTGTTGGAGGCGGGATGACGCTGGTGAAGATTAGGCAGAGATGGGGGGGACAGGGAGAGTGGGATGGGAGTTGAGATATAGGATGGGCTTTTGGCGTTGAGCTGGGAGCCTCGGCTTGTGATTGCGACGGACCCGCTCCGGGGTCAGACACGGGGGGACGGGGACGGGGGTGGATCCGTCCACATGTCAGGCCGGGAGTGCTGGGCCGCGCAGGACTGCCGGCGTTTTCATGATGAATTCCCCGCGGGTTGGGGATAGGGCAAAGTATGGGAGGCTGTGCCTGGCTGGTGTCGACTTGGTGATTGATTCGTGTGCTGTCTGGTAGTGTTTGGCCTTGGGTCTACCCGAGAGGGGGCCGAGGTGTCGTGTACTTGCCCAAACGGGAGTCCGTCGGGCGATAGAATAATCGCCCCGGGCCACATACATACCATACACAATGTATGGTCGCACGCTTGGCACGGCGCGGCGGCAGGTACATGGTGTGCGAGCAGCCGGCCGTTACGTCGATGCGGCTCTTACACCATTGACCTCGCCTACGCTGATGCCTAGATAAATTCATGCTAATTACCACGGCATCAGGCGTTCTAATTAAGCCCCTTTTTGCCTTGACGTCCTGAACCTGCCCCACTTTCCCGAAGCAGAGCTACCCCTGCAGCCTGTCACTCAATCTGCTTCACCCCACCAGCTCAAAGCTGTCCTCAACCACATGAAGCCTTCACATCCAACCACCTCTCCAACGTCCATGACGCTCCCATCGCCGCCGTCATGGACGCAAGCACGCCCAACCCGCCTACCCTAGGCACCGACGCTGTCGCCAGCACAATTGTCTTCTTCCACCCCGACCTCGGCATCGGCGGCGCAGAACGCCTCGTCGTCGACGCAGCCGTGGGCCTGCAAACCCGCGGCCATAAAGTCGTCATCTTCACCAACCACTGCGATCCGACACATTGCTTCGACGAGTGTCGCGATGGTAACCCTCCTCCCCGCTTCTTGACCCTTGAAGTCTCCTGCTAAAAAAAATTCCTCCCCAAGGAACCCTCGACGTCCGCGTCCGCGGCAACTCCATCGTCCCGCCCTCCATCTTCTCGCGCCTGACGATCCTGTGCGCCATCCTCCGCCATATCCACCTCCTCCTAACCATCCACCTGACGGGCGAGCTCGCGGCCCTCAGTCCACGCGCCTTCATCGTCGACCAGCTCTCCGCCGGCCTCCCTCTGATGCGGTTCCTCGCCCCCGACGTGCCCGTCCTCTTCTACTGCCACTTCCCGGACCTGCTGCTCGCCCAGGGCCGCCAATCCCTCGTGAAGCGCCTGTACCGCGTGCCCTTCGACCGCCTAGAAGAATGGAGCATGGGCTTCGCCCACGCCGTGGCCGTCAACTCCAAATTCACCCGCGGCATCGTGGGTAACACCTGGCCCGCCCTGCAGAACAAGGTGCCGATAAACGTCGTCTACCCCTGCGTCGACACCCACACCACGCACGAGACGGCGCCAGACGAGGCCAAGCTCGCCGCGGGCAAGAAGCTGATCCTGAGCATCAACCGCTTCGAGCGCAAGAAGGACATTGGACTGGCAATCAGGGCGTTTGCCCAGATCCCCGAGGAGCAGCGACGCGGCGCGCGCCTCGTGCTCGCCGGTAAAGCCCTCCTACCCTCCCCCACGCCAAAGCCGGAATGGCTAACCTCGCAAAAAAAAAAAAAGGCGGCTACGACGCCCGCGTCTCCGAAAATGTCCTCTACCACGCCGAGCTCCAAGCGCTCGCGACGTCCCTCTCGCTCGCGCACCACACCCTCACGCCCGCGGAGCTCGGCTCGGCCGCCGCGCCCCCAGACGCCCAGGTGCTCTTCCTCCTCAGCGTCCCCGGCGCGCTCAAGGCGGCGCTCCTCCGCGCCGCCCGCCTGCTCGTGTACACCCCGGCAAACGAGCACTTTGGCATCGTGCCCCTCGAGGCCATGCTCGCGCGCGTCCCCGTGCTGGCCGCCAACACGGGCGGGCCCGTCGAGACCGTTGCCGACCGGGAAACAGGCTGGCTGCGCGACCCGGCCGACGCGCCTGCCTGGACCGACGTCATGGCGCGCTGCCTCGCGCTGCCCGACGACCAGCTTGCCGCCATGGGGGACGCCGGCCGGCGCCGCGTCAGGGAGCTGTTTGGCCGGGACAAGATGGCCCAGACGCTGGACGAGAGCCTGGTCCAGATTGCGGGTCTTGCCGAGGAGAGGCGTGTCTCCGGCGCCGCGGGCTTTGGTGTCCTGGCGGCCTTTATCGCCGCCTGCGCCGTTTTGGCGGCCTGGTTTGCATTTTGATGGCGTACGGTCCAATAGACGTGTTTTGTTCGGCGGTGCCTGCGTGCCCGTGGAGCCTCGGGAGAGTGGCATCGTGTTTGCGCTGGAAATGCATGCGCTGCATGGGCCTGCGATAGAGAGACCAATGTTTTGACTTGGCAGGCGTGTTGAGGGAAATAACCAAATCTACAAGACAATCCGCCCTCACACGAGGATTTTAGAGAAGAAAAGCACATGATAGAAATCAAGGGTCAGCACTATTATGCACAACGACGCAGTGATACACATTCTTTGCCGTCCATATACATTGTGACATTCTCCATTATGTACACTACGTCAATACACAGGCCAAGCCTCTCCAAAATAAAGAAGAAATAAACAGATACTGATTTCATGCCTGCCGACGGCTGGCTCATTCGACAGCTAACCTCCCAGATGTATCTATATATGCAATGCTGCCGGTACCATGCAATATTCAAACCCTGCGGAACAAAATACCCCCCCGAGGACCATCCCTACTCCGGCCACCCACGGACAGTTTCAAAAACAAGTCAAAAGAAGAGGAGAAATAAAACAAACCTCCTGACGGGATCCCGACGTTCATTAGCCCGTCTGCTCAGAGACAAATACCACCCTAGATCCATTCTAATGTGTCACGCCGGGCTGCATAGTCCCGGCGGAAGGTAGACAGAAAGATGAAAAAAGAGCAAAACAGACGAGGTAAGAAAGAAAATTCAAGGGCCAAACGCGCCGTGTCGCCTAATGCAATCCGAGTCCAGTTGCTCGTGGCAGATTTGGGCCATCTCGTTCCAATCGTCTCCAAAATATGCCTGCATATTTCAACACATGGCTTCATCCAGTGCCATGCCTCTTCTGCGCAAGGTACGTCATGTCGTTAGGTCGTCAGTCAGTACTGTTGCGCTATTCATTGATCATTATGCCTGCTAGGAAGAGGCATCAATTCCGTCTCCGTCTTGAATCATGCCGTTGATGCGTACAACGCTGGAAGAGAGAAATATTGGTTTGAATAACTTGAGTAACAAGAAAGAAGTTTGAAAGGCCGCAAGGCCCATCTATCACTGGTTGCGTCTTGCATCCAGTTCCATTAAAAGGGAAAAAACCAAGCGTGGTATCGCGGTCTAATATTCGGGTATATCAGACTTCCTGACTCTTTGCAAAGCAAGGAAGCATCCAGGTAACCATCTTTCGTCTAACGAAATCGTGCACCAACCCATCCGTTACTTGGACTTGCGCGGGTGCAAATATAAGGACAAACGCCAGTTTCATGAGTCCCGGAGACGCATGGAATCTTCGCCATAAACGGACACCTTCTTGGCTGTCTCGTCGCTAGCGGTGCTCGCACCAGTGTCGCGTCTTTTAGCCTCAAACGGACGAGACGAGTGTGACGCACTGGTTGGCGATGCTTTCTTCTTAGACTTGGTCATGAGGAAAATCCCTTCGTCACTATCCTCGTCCTCGTCGACACGAGGTGTCCGAGAGTCCATGTCCTCAGGAGTATGTGTTCTGTCATGTTCAAGCTGCAGGTGTAGCGAGGAGTCGCCACCCAAGCTTTGGGAATGCTTAAACATTGAAGTCATGGGAAATCCACTGGCTGGTTCCTTCACAAGTGCAGGTGGCGTGATCGCTTCGGAGGATCCTTCATATCGGCATGTTTGTCCACCACTACCGGACCTAGCCAAGTGTTCAGCTTCCATATCGGCAGAGACGGAACTGGCACCGCTTAGCAGAGCGGGGAGTGACGGATCCGATTGGAACACTAGAAGGCGTCCGGAGGCGCTCTTGGGGGGGTCCGTATGCAAAGGGCTAGTCGTCTCGCTCGGACTCGTGAGAGGCGTTCCCATACCATCCATTGATTCCAGGCTAGATGACTTGGTCGTGGTCATGGTGTCATCTCTCGACGGCGCTGCCGGATGCTGCGTCCAATCTTGCGAACCTGGTGACGGCGGACAGGGGACATTGGCGGGCTCGACCTTTCGGGGAGACAGTATTTGAGACTGGCAGAGAGGCTCGACAGCCGCTTGAATTGTTTCAGGGCTCATGCATATAATGCCGCTCTGGTCTACCAGGGAAACTGAGGCCTTGGCCCCGTGGCCTTGTGCTGCAGCAGTTTGCTGAGCATTGACGCCAAATCCAAATCGGTTTTGGAGATTTGGATCGGAGCGAGGCTGCCCGTGTTGGTACGTAGCAGAGCTTGCTTGTGGTGACGAAGACAGCGGGGAAGGGGTATTGTATCCTCCTCTACTTCCTCTTCCCAAGTCCAGAGATCTAATGGGACCGGGATGGCGATGCATGGTTCCAGATGCTGTGGCTGTCGAAACAGAACAAGACCCGTTGGTACGCTTATCTGCACTCATGAAGACGCCCCGCTCAATCGACGCAGATCGGGAGTTGTCTTCGCTTTGGGATTCAAGAGCACGGGACCTCCGACTGCCATCCCGGGGGAGCTGTGGATGCACTTCTACATGGGGCGTGACGGGGGTGGACTGTGTTTCAGGAAGAGCTGGGACAAGCTGCAGAAATTGCGGCGCCATTTTGCGGTGGCCAGCATGGCGCTGAAATCGTCGAGAGCACGTGGTTGCGGAGGCGAAGTCAGAGCTGCCGTTGCTGGCATCATTGTTTCCGGGAGCGGTCCATAGCTGATGGTGGCGGTGATCCTTGGCACCTTCGACTGGCTGCAAAACTGTGGCAAGGGGGTCATACGCACCATCGGTCTGAACAGTAGCAGTCGAGGGAGCCGTGATGGTCGGCTGGCTGGATCCTGCAAGCACGTCTTTGGCAACGCTGCCAAAGTAGTCCCCGCCACGAAGACTTGGTCGCCGTTCAAAACCGGGATGCAGGTTCGCACCCCCATTTTTAAATATGCTGTCGCCAGCGGAGCTTGCTACGCTGCTGGTGGCTCGTCTTCGTGATTTGCTGTCGCTGCGTTCCACAAGCGGATGCATGACCCTGCCCACCGCCTTCTTCACGACTGATCGGGCTCGTTCCAAAAAGGTGAGAGGAACGACAGCGTATGACATTTCTTTCTCGTCGACTTGGATCTTCCTGCCCTGTGAAGGACGTGCTGGATCAGTGTCATCGAGCCAGCCCACGACGTTGCTGATGCCATGGACAACCCAAGGGTGTCGCTTGATATCCCGGAGACGAATTCGCTTCTCCGGATTCTTGGTCAGCATCTGGCGAAGGAGGTCGTACAAAAGATTGTCCACGTCCTCATACTCTAGGTCATTATCATCCCGGTATGGATGTGCATTCTGTCTTTTGTAAAGAGAATGCTCTGCCGGAGAGGTTGAAGGATCAACGGGCTTTAAGCGGCGGCGGGGGATGTGTACGTCTTCGGTTGCAATCTTTCGGAACATTTGGAATTCATCCTCAGCCAGGAACGGAATACGAGCGAAGATGAGACAGTACAACGTCACACCAAGTGACCATACATCGATTTGCTCCGAGACTTTGGGCTGATGTTTACTGTCAACGTCCGTATAGCAGAGCTCAGGGGCGAAGAAGGCGGGAGTGCCGACAGTCTTGGCCAGTTCCAGGTCGTCGTCAAAGTCCTTAGCTTCAGACTCGGATACGGTATCGTCGGGTTCACCGTCGCGGATGGGCCGCCCAAAGTAGGAAACACCAAAGTCGGAAATCTTGACGCGGTGGTCCTTGGTCCAAAGGAGGTTGGCTGGTTTGATGTCTCGATGAACGACGCCCTGGTAGTGGAGGTACTCCAAACCCAGAACTGTATCACGGAATGTAGACCTAGCCTGATCAAACGTGAAGCAGGGGACAAAGGAATAGTCTTCGGCAAAGGGATCGTGTGCGTAGGGGTTATAGTCAACAGAAGACATGTGAGAAATGATGGAATCGGCCATGCTGGGAGATCGCTCTCGGAATTGCCTTCGAGGAGCATCCTCGGTGTACGCTCCATGCATGGTGCCGTCGAGAGCCGTAGTAGAGCCCGGAGCTGAGTGAAGAGGGCCGGGTGTCTCCATGTCGTCCACCCACGAAATGTCCTCGGCGAGTTCAGAAGGCATCAATCCGGTTGAGGCAATTGACATTGACCTCGAGGGGGCCACAGAGGAGCGCCGCGAGCCTGAGGGCGATGAGGGCCCGTCAGTGAGGGCAAAGTCTTCGTGGGAGGAAATGCGAGACCAGTGCCCTACACTGCTCCCCTCGTCGGCTGCACCATGCTCGACGCTCCAGTAGTCAGAGGGACCGGCGAAAGTCTGGGCCATCTTGGCCCGCTTTAATTCTTTGATGGCTTGTCGGCGTTCGAGATGTTGATTGTATCGCTCCTCCTCGGCGGAGGGCGCAGGGCCGCCCATTTCTCGTTCGACTCTGCGTCGCTCATACTGGCAGATGTGCGGTAAACCCTTCTTTCGCCAGACAATCTCACCGAGTTCAACATGCTCGAGTACCATGTAGATCTTCTTTAGTTCAGGGTCGTCGATGACTTCGAGCAAGGCGACGACGTTGGGATGACGGATTTTCTTGAGAATGGCAATCTCCTTTTTGGTCTTGTCTTGTGGCGACAGGGCCATCACTTTACCCAGTCGTCGTTTCTTTGAGAATCGAGGAATGATTTTGATGGCGACATTATCAGAAGTTTCGAGGTTTCGAGCAAGCTTGACCTTGCCGTGCATTCCACGACCAATCTCCTCAATGACCTCATACTGGTTGATGGACTTGCGGCCGGTGATGTTATCAGAGTCGATCAGGGCTTTGTGGGTTCTGTGAAGAGTGGCGTTGGGTCAGAAAAACGGTCATTCACGCAATGTTTTGCAAGAGGGAGCAGGTAATAAGAGCAAGAGAATGGCCGACATCTGCCGCATCCTCTTGTGCTGAAACATTTCGTTTTTGGGAGACGGCGCGGACGGCGGCATGGGGAGGGGGGTGGAAGGAGGAGGATGATGGCGATGGTGGGCGGTAGTCGACTTACTCTCTAACTCGATGAGTCTGCAACGGGTGAAGAAACGGGCTGCTTCCAATTGGCGCCGGCGTATTACATTCGG